ATGAGGTGCTGGGAGCGGATGCACTAGACCCTTCTACCCTCCCCCGTCCCCCACCACCTCCCCTTTAAGTCCTCACGGAGGGTGGCGAGTGATATTTCGCCAGCCGACGCGTCCTTGACGCGCCGTCCCAAAATTGCGGGAGCTGAGATACTCCAAACAGCCGCTGGAACTCCTCGGGCTGCTTGTGAAACATCGCCGAAAAAAGATCGTGTGGAAGGAGCACTTCCTGGTCGCAACTGATTCTGTCAAGCGTTTTCGGCTTCAGCATGTGTATACTTATCACCTCTGGATCTGGAAAGCTGTTGTTTTGCAGGTACTTTCTGGCGAGCGCGCGGTGGATGTTCCCTGGCTGGGTCCCCCAAGATCCCATGGCTGACACGCTGGCGATTTCTGGGATCTGATCCAGGCCGTCTTTGTAGGCTGCGCGCAACAAGCTCTGCGCCTCGGTGCCCTGGATGTACCCCCACGCCCACTTGCGAAGCACTAGAGTCGACAGGTTCCCATGTTCCGCCACCACCTCGGGTTCATTATCAGGGTCCGGGTCCGAATCTGGCTCGGGCGCCTCGGGCGGCTCTTCCAATCTGCGCTTGCTCGCGACTCGTCTCATGTCGCGCGAACTCTCGGGCCAGAATGGCTGGGCACGTGAGAAAGATTGCGCTCCCATTATACGCCCTGCTTCTCCTCCCTCCTCTCCCTCCCCCTCCCCCATCGTTTGCCTGCCCTTCCTTACTTGTGAGAGGGGTCCCCCGCCACGCCGCTAGGTGCGAAGTGAAAGGCGCTCAGAACCATTAGAACCCTGAATCTTAATCCGCGTGCTCTTGAAAGGGCGCTGAGAGGCCCCATCCGACGAACCCTCAGAGAGATCCAGACAGCTCCTGGTCCACAACCTGGGCACGCTGGTGGGTCGAGCAGAAGGGGGGCGAGGGGAGGGATAAGGGTAGAGGTGGGGGGGCGGAGGTAGGCCAGAGATACTCTGCGCGGAGCTCGAAACCCTTAGAAGCCAGTTCATTGGCTCCGATCCGCAATGTGATGAAGTTGGCTACTCGGCCAAGGCGCTGGATGCAAAGCTACTATCCATATGGGGCCGCGGGACCATTTGGGGATCCACCAACTTTGTCTGGGTGGGGGTTCGCGGTAGTCTTGCAAACCAGCTCGTGCCAGGGGCTCGACCTAGCCCCTCGCAAAAAAAAACAACATGCTTGGAATGGCAGCCGAAACCGTGGCGATACGGAACGTCGCACCCCGCGGGGAGACGGGGACAAAGGGGGAGAGGATCGGCGTGGGCTTTCAAGAGGGGTGGAGGAGGGGGGTGCGTTAGGAGGAGGTCGACGTTCGTAATCGCCTTGGTTTTTGCTGCAGCGCGCCTGTCTGCCTACGGGCCTACTTCTCCTGCATGATCGGTAGCGCCAGCGCCTGCTTGAATACCGCCTTGCAGTCCACGCACATCTTCGCAGCCTTGGCGTGGGGCACGGTGGACTCCATCATCATGTCTCCGAACTTGTTCTCGAACGTGCGAATCGACGACAGGATCTGGGAGCATCGCAGTTCTCTCGCGATCTCGGAACGCCCGATCTTGTTAACGCTATCCCTCCACCGTCCCTCTGGGCGCGCAAGCCGCAGCTATCTCGCGCGTGACGCGTGCGCCTGGACGGCCCCAGGCAGAAGGCCACGGAAACACTTAGGAACCCCAGGTGGGCCGAGGGATCCATACGGCCCTGACTCCTGCACCCTAGGCCTCAACCCCCGTCCACTCTCCTTGCGCCCCTCTCCCATCCAGTCAAGGCCTGGACCTGCCCCCCTCAATCCACCGCAGCATGTACCCAACACATTCGCGTACTAAAAACACCAAGCGCACAAACTGCTGGCGCACAAAAAAATCATCGAGCCTTCTTCCCCTTCAAGTTCATCGCGCCAGAGGCGGTCGCCATCGCCTCCACGAGAGTCTTGGTGCCGACCTATGCGGAATCGCTATTCTGCGGTTGCGTGTGTCTCGCTCTCTATAGCTGTCTCTCTTTCCCCTCCCTCTGAGTCGCGGTAAGACTCTCACGCACGGATTTCCCGACGTATGCCATGTTACGCATATGTGCGCGCGTGCGTGCATATATTTGAATGTGAATGTGCCTGGCTGTACGGGCACGTATATGGTTAACAGACATCTGACCATTGTGTGTGTGCATGCGCACACGCATGCATACATACACCGTATGCATCTACCTACATAGAGATGTGTGCGTGTTTGTACGTCTCGTACGTATACACTTGTTTCTGTGTGCATGTGCATAAGTGAGGATGCGCGCGTGTTGGCTCTAAACTTCACCTAGCTTCGTCAATGGCCTGTTCGTAACCGCACCATCCTCCCCACCGTCGCACCCCCTCTGTCGTTCAAGCAAAGCAGAGTAGATGTTAGCTGCGCCCTTGGGACCGCACACGCGTCGTAGAATCTCGTGATGAGGGACTTCGCCTGGTCGCTGTTCGTGGCGGACTTCACCGTCACGCTCATCAGGGGCGCGCAGATGACGTGGAACTTGAGTTTAGGATATTGTTTTCCTCAATCAATTCTGGCATCACTGGGGGTTCTTACTTCGGTTAACCGCCTCGGCCCCCCCCGCCGTTAACTCGCGGCCGCGCCGCCCGTCGCCGCCCGTCGCCGTCGCCTCAGTCGCCGCCATCCCCGCCCGTCGCCGCCATACCCGTTCGTTGCCGCCCGTAGCCGTCGCCGCGTCGCATACATTGCACCGCATAAGATTGCGCGTTCGTTGGGTAGTACCAGTATTGCTGCTACTACGAGTACTATTATAAAGTTTGGCACGACTGCTACTGCTATTATTATTTCTACTACTACAGCAACAGCAACAGCAACTACTACTACTACTACTATTACTACTACTACTACTACTACTACTACTACTGCTACTACTACTACGACTACACCAACACCTACTACTACTACGACAGCAGTAATCATAGTAGTCAGTGTAGTTGCTGTAATCGCAGTAGTCGTAGCAGTAGTAGGAGTAGTAGTCACAGTAATAGTAGCCGTAGCATGCATATTAGTAACATTAGTAATCGTAGTCGTAGTAGTCGTCGTAGTAGTAGTAGTAGTAGTAGTCGTAGTAGTAGAAGTAGTGGTAGTAGTATTAGTAGTAGTAGCAGTAGCAGTAGTAGTAGTAGTGGTAGTAGTAGCAGTCGCAGTAGTAGTGAGCGCCGTTGTCGTAGCCGTAGTAGTAGTAGTAGTAGTAGTAGTAGTAGTAGTAGTAGTAGTAATGGTAGTAGTAGGGGTAGTAGTAGTAGCAGCAGTAATAGGAATAGTAGTAGCAGTAGCACCAGTAGTAGTAGTGGTAGCACCAGTAGTAGCAGCAACAGTAGCAGTACTAGTCGGAACATGATAAGAATAGCAGTGCTAGTCGTAGTGGTAGTTCTGCTAGAAAGGGGAATCTAGGTGGTGCAGCATATGCGGTGTAAGCTATGGTGCGCCATCTATTACAAGCATCGTGCGGTACAACATATGTTGTGTTATGCCCCCCAAGTGGTGCTATGATGTGCACGCGGGGCCTCTTATTCTTTCTCTACTGAACTGGGCCGCGGATTTGGAATGGTTGTTATGTCGTTGCCGTCGCCGCCCCGCCGCCCGTCGTCTGGGCCTGGGTGTTGGCATGACGGCTGTGTCCCTGTCGCCTATTCGCAGCTTCCTCGTCGCCTTGTTGTTGCGTATGGCTGTGCATCGTTATGCATTTCGTCGCATTGCTTTGAATTCGCATTGCGGTTCCGTGATCTGACACCGCAAAGTGCACGCCATATAGATTGCACCGCATTGCTGTTGCCACATCTATATCTGTAATCACATACACTTCATCAACGTAGCTTACACCACATATATTGCTCCACGCAGTTTGCACCACCTGTGTTCCACCACATAGTTTACACAACATGTATTGCACCACGTAGATTGCACCACATGTATTGCACGAAGTAGGCCGCCCCACGCATATTGCACCATGTAGTTTGCACCACATCTACTGCACCACACAGCTTGTACCACATATATTGCACCACCGATGCTGCTAGAAACCAACTGTTCGGGGTCCACGTTGGCGAACATGCTACGCATGAATTCGAGTGGTGTGTTTCCTATCTCTCTGTGCCCCCTCTGCCCCTGCCCCCCCCCCCCTCTCGTCATCCCTTCTCCTCTTCTTCTGTCCTCGTCACCCGCTGCGTTCCCACAAGCCATGCGGAGCCTCACCCCCCCCCCCCGTCGCTTACGCATCCCCAACGAGGAAGACCAGCGCAATTGAAAAGGGTGCGGTGCTCGAAAGAGAAGGATTGGAACGGAAGCGGGAAACCAACAACATTGGAGACAACAGATCGCATGAGAAATGAATAGTCAAGGACAGATGTTGAGCTCCTTCTTGTCCGCTAGTGCGCGCGGAGTCGAGCTGCGACCGCGGCCGCGTCCAGCACCGCGCCCAGCACCGCGCCCGCGGCCACTTGACTGCTGAGCACGCCGACGGCGAACATCCTCGTCGTCGCTGCCCTGCTTCGAGTCGTCGTCGCTCTCGTAGCCCATGTTCTCGAAGTTGGCTGTGTGGCAGTATTTCAACACTGGAATGTACAAGGGAGCTGCATGATCGAACGCTTGGGACACCTACGCTTCTGATATGCACGGTGACCTACGTGAACATCGTTGCAATCATTGAGCTTGACAAAACTGAGCCATCACACGCGAATCGCATCGACAATGCGCGTAGCGAGAACGAGCATTGCAATCATCTGAAACGCACACCTTTCGAGCATGCACGGTCGCGCTAACAGTTAAACAGTGCGGTAGCATTGTTCAAATGTTAGTGTTCGTCACGCCATACCAAGGAGGGAGCAACGCCTAGCACATCACATAACGTGTTCTGGGACAGCGCCATACAGGATTCAAATCACCGCGGCACTTGATCGACGAAGGACGATGGTAAGAGGAGGGTGACAAAACGCAGTCCGTGACCCAACTGGACCTGCTTGCCTTTCTTCAAGGCCTTGGACAAAAAGTCGAACTCCATGCCCTCGATCGCCTTCTGGCCAGTCACCTCGCGCCGCTTGCCCCGCGTCAGCTCCTTGGTATGCTCGTCCGAAATGTCGAGGTGCAGCTTCCGCTTGGGGTTCAGCGGGTTCTTCTTGGACTGGGAAGGCCGCCGCCCGATCGTTGTTAGACACCCCCTCCCCCAGACCACGACGGCTCGACACATCCCCAGCGTTCAACGGAACATTGCAAGTGAACGCATGCAGCATTCGCGCATGAACCATGCACGTGCGTTTACAATTGACGATTCTGCGCGCCGTTTCGACGTGGCTGGGGGAGGGCGGGGAGGACAGGGCGGTGGATTGAGGATGGGGGGGGGGGGGGGGGGGGGGGGGGGGTGGGCAGGATGGGAGAGGGGGGGCGGACGGATTGGAAGGAAGGCGCCATCTCAAACAGTTCGACACCCTGCGGTTTCGCCACTCCCCACCACAGCCTCGAAATTACCCCTACCCTAGATTGAAAACAAACGACGATGACAACTTAGGAGCCACCCTCAGAAACTAGGGAAATCCCTAGTGCGCTATCGGAGAGGCGGATGAAGAACATAGGGAATAGGGGATAGGTTCCAGGCTGGGAAACTCCCCTCCTCCCCTCGATTGCGTCGGCATCCCACGACAATCCGACGTGCATTCCCGAATGCGATCTCACCATGAGCGTGCCGTTCTCCATCATATCCTCGGCCTCCTCCGCGCCGTACTTGTCGATGAAGAACTTCTTCGGCTGCCACTTGGATGTCTGCTTCACGCCCTCCGCCAGGCCGACGGACGTGACCACGTTCCAGAATGTGTTTTTCATCTCGGGGTCCTGCAGATGTTTGAGCAGCGCACGGTTTCCTCCTCCTCCTCCTCCTCCTCCTCCTCCGTGAGTTGTCACATGGGCACGAAAACATGCCTTGTCCATTTACCACCTTGCAGCGAGCATGTACATGCTCATTCGGCACAACGGCACTGATGTCTGCATCATGTAATATGGCCCTCTCTCCCCCCCCAGCACAACGCTACAACAAGTGAACACAAAACGGGTTTCCTTGATCCAACCCATCAAGAGCTTCTGCTTCGCCAATGTCTTGGCCCCGTCCTTCCGCTTCTCCGCCTGGCTTGCCAAATCAGCCGCCCCGTTGGTAGCTAGATCACGCATGGCACGCACCTGCCTTGCATAATGACAGCCGCCAGCTTGGACGAGAGGACGCTGCATGCCAAATGGACATGCACGTTGCAACCGCCATCCCTAAACACCTACCCTGGCGTCACGCCGAAACAGCCTTACACTCGCGGGCATAATCAACAGAACCGCTCGGTGCACATGCATTCGTTGGGAGGGGCGTCGAAACGTGTGAGGGGTGTGCCGAAATTTACCCGAGTGCGCATGCAGACGGTGTCATTGGGGCATTCGGTGGAGCTCCATGACGGCCCGCGAAACGTGTGAGGGGTGCACCGAAATGGACCCGATCACGTATGTTGGCCCTTCGAATGGGGCCTTCGGTGGGGTTCCCTATGGGGCCACGAAGGGTGTGAGAGGCACGCCGAAATGGGCCGAGAACGCATGCGGGCCTTGCCACTGGTCTCTTCGGTGGAGCCCCCTAAGGGGCGACGAACCGTGCGGGGGGGGTGCCGAATTGGACCCGAGTGCGCATGCGGGCTTTGCCATTGCGGCCTTCGGTGGGGTCCCCATAAGGGGTCACGCAACGCGTGGGGTGTGTGTGCTGACATGAACCCAAGCGTGCATGCGGGCCTTGCCACTTGGGCCTTCGGTGGGGCCCGTATGGGGCCACGAAGCGTGTGAGGGGTGTGCCGAAATGGACCCGAGCACGCATGCGGGCCCTGCCATTGGGGCTTTCGGTGGAGCCCCCTCGGGCCACGAAACGTGTGCGGGGTGTGCTGAAATTTAACATGGTACGCAATTGGTCCTTGTCACTTGGGCTTTCGGTGGAGCTCCCGACGGGGCCACGAAGACCGTGGGTGAGGAAGAGGAAAGGAGGGAGGGGGAGCAGGGGGAGGAGGAGCGGAAGAGATGCGCGGCGCTGCCAATTCAAAATGAGGACCCACCTCACAGGAGGCTTGGGAAGAAGGACCCAACCCACTGGAGGGTTGGGAAAGAGGAGGGAAGACAACGAGGGGGAGAAGGATGATGAGGAGCATGGAGGGAGTGAAGGAGACGCGCGGCGCCGCGAACCCCAAACGAGAACCCACCAAACATGAGGATTGGGGAAAACAACAGAGGCCGAAAGGGCGGCGGAACGGCCTCGTCGTACGCATCCTGGGCCTGCGACTCGTGGGCACGAGCCGTGGTGAACTGCCCGTAGAGGCACGCGATCTCGTTCTTCGAGAAGAGGCCTCTAAGCTGGGCCGAGTCCGTCTCGTCGCCCTTCTCCCTGTAGCAATATTTATTGTCACAGCACAAAAGCACTAAAGAACTAGAGTGCCTTGAAACCCTTGCCCTCCACTTGTGCCTTGCCCTCGCCTCAGCTCGCGATCCGCTCACAACTGGGCCAACGAATGGGCCAGTTGGACAACGAATGGGCCAGGTGAGCGAATGTGCAACGAATGGGCCAGGTGAGGGGGCGAGGAAAACAAGCAAAGAATGAGCGGGTGGCGAATGAGCCAGCATGCAAACAACAAACAAATCGATCCTGAAGAGCTGCACCCGCGCATTGAAGTCCTTGCCCTCCGCCAGCGCGGGGATCTTGGCACGTGCAATCCTGTGGGCGAGTTTGAATGGCGAACGGGACGGGGGGGGTGATCCGATGAGCGCGGGCATCTTTCCGACATGGGCACAGGCATTTGGACAGATGCTGGCGCCAATCGAAACTTTGGCACATGCATTGTTTCAAACACCAACTGTCCCTTTGGCATCATGAGGCGCAATTGCCGCGCTGCCCGACGCCTTGCTGTCGGGCGCCTTCCCCTTCGCCTTCTTGATCGTCTTCATCCCCGCGGCAAAGGGGGCGGGCTTCTTGGATGGCTGTGAGTCGTCATGCATTGCAATCGCTGGACACATGGACACATTACAATCGTTGGACACATTGCATTGCATTGCATAGACAACGAGACACACGGACACATGGAACGTGCACCCAGACACACAGAGCATACACCTAGCCACATAGAAAGCACTTGCGCACACCACATAGACACATTGAAACTACACCTGGACACATAGACACAATGCACGTCAGCAACACGTAGAAATATACATCCTCACTGACAGTTTCGGCGCACATGACTGGAATGAAAATGTGGGATCCTTCCCCATGGTGCTGAAGATGTCGCAGCCGTCGGTCAGCCGCGCGAGTCGTAGTGGATACGATCTCCGAAATGGCAGATTGTCCCTGATACAATCTGAGATACAAACAGCATGATACTGACAGGTGTTTGATTATATTTTTGGTGATTGATCAGGCATGTTTTAGTGATCGAACGCACTCTAGTGTTGATCATTCCTACTGCAGTGATTGAACAGACTTTGGTCATGTCCCGTGCGCACTGCTTACATAAACATACACATGCTAGTAATTTGTGTTGTAATTTGATGTACGTTGTACTACGCAGGCACGGTGTCCAATACATTGAAAGTGTGTTGATCTGACGTTGGTCTGACGTTAGACCAACGTCAGAGTCATATCTGACGTTGGTCTGACGTTGGTCTGACGTTAGACCGAAATGTCTGACGTCAGGCTAACGTCAGACCAACGTCAGATGTCAGTCTGACGTTGGTCTGACGTTAGACCACCGTCAGATCAGCACAGTTTATAGTATAATACACTCACACATAAATTGCACCTATGTATGGTACACATACCTATACAACCACGATTAGTTAAGTGATATGGGGCAACTTTCGTACTTACTTACGATTGCACATGGGCATGATCCACGACTGTTCGTATCTAATCAATTCGACTCGTACCTAATTAGGTAGACCACCCGTGCGCAATTGTTATCACTTAGACTTGTTTGTATATACTCAGGAGGCCTCGTGGGATATGTGGCCCGTGAGCCACGCTACTCCCATGCGTGATATAACATGACCTCTTTGGATACATGCCACATGTTTTATCGTCCTCCTGTCGAGGATCACGCAACCTCCATGCTCTGACTTCGATGCACTCATGCCATGTTCAGGGACCACGAAAGGCGAATATGTCGAGCACCCGTCCACGACGGTCATCCCCGAACGCCGCGGCGCTCAACGATACTGCGCTGCTCATGCAGCAAACGTGCTGGCCACATCACGGGATTCCCACCATCCATCCAGCAATCATTCCTTGCTCTTCCTGTTCTCGTGCCTCCTTCCTTGACTCATGCTTCCTGACTCCCCCTCCCCCCCCATCGTCACTGCAGCCCGCGCTGCAGCCTCCAGGCTGCATGGCGCAACTTATTTGGGCTGCTTAGCCCTCCAGGTCTTCGCCTGCTCCTTTGAAAATTTATGCTGGCAGGCGAGGCGCATGAGACGCGATATCAAAGCTGCGTGATCCTCCGTCTGCGGCTTCCTAATCTCGAGGAAGAGCGTCCGCTTCGACGAGCCTGGCACCTTAGAACATATATAGGACTTGTCTTTCGCGTAGCAGGCGTACATGGGCCCCAGGGTGGGGTGCTCGTTGAAGCGAACGAGCTTGGGGTCAGCGTTCACCGTCTTCGTGGCCTTGGGCTTCTTGACTTCGGCCTGGAGATATGCGCATGTTATATGTCATGTATGTGCTGGTGCTTTCATATTTCGCCATGTAACCATGACCGTATATGCGAGAATGCTGCCATGTCCGTACATGCGGGTGGTCTCCGTCACACACGCACGCACACAACCGTTATGTACTCCCCGTGCCATTGCCCATCTTTCCTCCGCCCTCGCTTCCTCATATGACCGCCTAACTCACACCCCTGCTCCCTCCCCCGCAACTGCGTCCTGGGATATCTCCTCCGTGCCCCCTCCATTCACATTCGATAGTAAAACTGCGCATCCTTCAAATGATGCTTGCATGCAGGGACGGGCTTCGCCTTCTTCGCGGCCGTAAGCAACTTCTCATCGTCCCCGTCTGAAGCAACGGGCGGGCAGGGAGTGCATGGCGTCGTCGAGCGGGGCGTGCGAGGAGTGCGGGGCGTACAGGGCGTGCAGGGCGCACGAGGCGAAGAACTCGTCGAACTGCTGTTCTTGATGGCGATCGCCAGGGCCTGGCGGGCGGAACGAGGCGATGGCAATACGGTGATGACAAAAGGCACTGACCGTATCCCAGGAGGTGCTACCCCCAGCATCCTCACACATCTTCCCCACCCACCCCTTACTCACTATCCCTTGCTCTCCATGCCGTACTCCCCAGCCATTACTCCCTGTCCCGTACCCCCCATCCCTTTCTCCTCCCACCCACAGCGCAGGGGGGCACAATTGCCGACGAGGGTTAACACCATCACGGGCGCACATGAATTGATTTAGAGAAATCGGGGACGGTGCTTCAGTGCTCCAGTCGCCGTCGGAGGGTGCGACCGCAGACGGGGCCGAAGAATGGACCGAAGGTGGCGGACAGTAGCGCAGCGGTAAGGTTAGAGGAGGGACCCGAACACCGATGTTGATTTGTTAATACGCCCCAGTATTGCAGTCTGCGAACTGCTCCCGCAACTTACCTTGGCGAAGAACCCAACCCCTCTTCCACGCGTGGAACACACCAACAATACCGCTCGATGCACACGATCTCGATGGCGCGGAGTGGCGTCGACACGTGTGTGTGTGTGTGTGCGTGTGTGTGCGTGTGTGTGCGTCTGGGCGGCGTAAACCATTTGAATAAGCCTGAGCGCCACCGAAGAAGATCTTCACAA